TTCTTTATCTCATAATTTTCAGATCACATTTCTAATCAAAAAAGAAAAAAAAAAGCATCAAACTTAATTTCACTAACTAAAATTTCAGAAATTTTTGTTTGAGATGTAGCCGCAATTTTACAATAAAAAGTTTTTAATAGGTATAAAATTTATTTTAGAACTTTGTAAATACGTATAAAAATATGAACAAGTAGATATTTTGAGAATGTAATTATTAAAATGAATGCAAATTGAAAATAGATAACCAAAATAAACGCGGTAATAGTAACGAAAATAACTAAAAAAACCATGAATTTATTTTAGATATTTAAACTTCCATATTTCTTCAGTTCATTATTTAATTTTTAAATATCTAAAATAAATTCATGGTTTTTTTAGTTATTTTTATTTCTCAACGTTGTCAACAATTATTGTGCGCGCGTTATATTTTTTGGTTAAATATGAAAAACATACCAAGAAAATTATTTTAAAAAAATACATCTTAAAAGTTAAAAATACAAATTGTTATAAAGAGGTCTGTAACTTTTGAAATTTTGATTTGAGTTTTAATTTAACTTGTATGATTTTAAACGTCTTTATATTTGTGTCTCTTATTTAACTATATTTTACCAAAAATCTCTAAATTATCTTTTACGAGTAAGAAATAAACCACTTGTATTCGCTTTAGAGTCAGTAACATAATATTATTAGTATATTATTAGTCACCGTGTAGAAAACAGTGATGATTGTACCATCAATAAAGAATGCATTATATATTCAGTATTGTAATAATGCAAATAATAATTTACATTATTTTACTATATTATAAGAAACCATTTGAAAGTAATTTTAAGTCATGGTAGCCAAAATGTACGTTTGACAAACTACAAGAATTTCGTAACTAACCAGCTCGTGTGTTTTTTGGGTTAAATTTTCAAGTAGGTACGGATGGTTTAATATTATTAACTTGGTCCATTAATTAAAAATACCCTATTTAGTTTCTAACCTATAAATTGGTTTTTATTTAGTTTATATGGGTTTGTTCACAAATACAATAATTACATCCTACTCTTCAACAAAATAGTTTACTATAGTTGCAACAATAACCTTGCTTATTTTAACTATTGTTTCTACCGAACTACAAGTCATTGTGATTAAATCTTAATGCTATGACTTTATTGGTTGTTGGGGTCTGTTGCAATAATTTAAAATTATTGAGGGTGTGGCTGCGACAACCTCGTAATTATTTTAAAATGTCAATGTTTAAGGTTTAGTTGTAATAATCTTAATAATTACAAATTGGTTTGGTCAAGCCAATTTTATAGGTCTATTAACAACATTAATTATTTGATGTAATGATTTTACAATTAGTTTATTTAAATAATTGTTGGAGTTTAAAGTTATAAAATTCTAGGGTCATAAATGGTACAAATTCAATAATATGCGAGATGGAAATTCGAACAATTTTTTGGTCAAAATAAATATGTCTTAATAAGTTGATTACGAAACACAAGGAATTTTTGGTTATTTTTATTTGTGTTATTTTATTTTCTAAATTAACATCTATAGTTAAATATTAATCATTAGACTGCCCTTTATATATTTTATTGTCATTTGATTTCCTCCAGCTACTTACCAGTCATTTGTTTAATGATTTGTAGTTAATAATATAGTACATTCATGATAACATATGTGTTTTTTTTCCCCTGAATGGGTAATGGTCTTAATAATTTTTTGTTTGAGTATTGCCAAATTTCATATTAATACAAAATTTAAACTAAAATGATTAGATTGTTATGTTAATAAAGTTTATAAACAAAATTATTATCTATTATAAAGTACAAAAACTAAATTCGTCTCATACTAAATTGGTTGTTAGTTCAATAAAAATAAGAGGACCGAAAATTAATTTTTAATCCATACTAGTTGTATTACTGAATTCAAGCTTCAATTTTTTAAAATCCAAAATTTAGTGAAAATAATTGTTTTTTCTCTTACTTTTTCTTTCGATGATTATTTAAAAATTGATGGAAAAATGAGATGCTATTTTAGACAAAAATTGGATTTTCTTTTTTGGTTAAAAACAAAACTGTAATTTTAGTAGGTTAGTGAAGAGGAAACCCTAGATGACAGACGTAGAGCGCAGAAGGGAGGCAATAGGGTTTAGAAGGATGGAGCACGTGGCAGAATTTTGGTGGTGGTTCAGAATCTAGAATGGTCACGGACGGTAGCTCTAGATCTGAGAAATGTTTGTATTTCAGAAGCCAAGCTCACGTTCCCCCATAATACAAACCTACATTCTCCTCAAAGTCCTCGTCTCTTTCGATATGCCCTTTTCTTTTCTATTATTATTTTTTAAATATAAATCATCAATCTGTCTCATTTCCAATATTATTATATGGGCCCAGGCCCGTCATGGACCCGGCTTTGTATACAAGCCCAATAGTAGGCCCATTTACTGATAGAAACCGATCCAAACGACGAGCTCGTGAGTTATATATGGGTTGGGCCTCATGACAATTTGTTTTCTCAAAAATCATCACTGGGGAATCTCCAAGAATATGTATTATTGTAAAATTAATTATAAATATGACATTTTAATTATAATATGTTGATAGTGAAAATAACTTGTATTTAAAAATGTTGTGGTGTTTATTGATTATGTGGTGAATTGTGATGCAATTATAGATAGTTGGCCTTTAGCCTAAACTATAAAATTTTAATTGTTAAATTTATTAGAGCCAAAATTTTTAGTTGGATGTTCAATGGCGATGATTTATATAATCACCTAATAAGGGATATTTAAACGAGCATGAAAAAAAAGAGATTGGTCTGAAATTCCTTTTGAATTATGTAATGGTTGATATATATTTTTACTAACTGGATAACTAAAAAGCAAAATTGTAGTTGCTCTTTATTGTTTTTAGAGCCAGGTTGTTGCATTTTCTTTGGTTTTCTTTTTCAATTTTACGAGTTTTTGGCTATTTATCTCGTCCTTTTATTGGGCACTTCTACAAAATTTATAATGGTTAAAAGAAAAAAAAAATACACGAGATTGTTTTTTTAATATGAAAATTAGTTTTTTTTTTAAATGGGTAAAGGGAGTATGTATTTAAACTCTGAGAATAATACCTTGATCAATTAAACTAAGTTCATGTTGGAGAAATTAACTTAAATTAAAGATTAACCATAGAATCAAATCAATTCATAAATATCTTGCTATAGTAGACGGTACTTGACATATTCCTCACTCACCCATGTTGTATTAAAAAAAATTCACAATATCTTGTCAAATATATTTTGAAGAAGTATCTCATATTTAATTTAATTATCTTTCACGTTTACTCCGTCAAACAACTGGATATTTGTTTAAAAAATAAAATAAAATTCCAGAAATAAAATTCTACAAGTTTACCATTTTAGAGAAAAAAATTACAGCTTTGTTAATTGGGTTTTATTTTTAATCATAAAGATACTTTAAATTAAGGAGTAAATAAATTATAAGTCACATCGATGAGTCAATTAATATCTCGCGTTCATGATACGAAACGGTCGCAAAAATCTTCAAACGGTCGAAAAGCTTAGCTGTCCCCCACAATCGCTCCCGCTCGCGGGTGATTCAATTGCGCGGGATTGAATTGGCTCAACGGCCGGTCAATATTTTCTTCCTCACAATCTCCCGCCTTCTCATACCCAATGACCAGTTCATTATCGATTCGACGATCGCTCTCTCTCTCGCACTCTCACCAGACCCATTCGCTCTCCTCATTTTCAGAGATTTGTTTTCCGTCAAGCTCTCTTTCTCTCTCCCTCTTTCTTCACTTCGATTTGTTTTCCGTCAATATCCAAAACAGTCTCCAAGAAGTCGCCAGCCGAAGATGGACTCAGTGGGTGCGGCGGTTGTTGGTTCAGTGCGCATTGGCTGGACACACGGTTCTGGACTCAGTGCCGATCGAATTCTCCAAGCGATCTAACGATGACGGCAGCGAGGAAGCCAAATGGAGGCTGTACCTACAGAAAAGAGACGATATCAATTCAGGGGTTTCGTTATAAGCCCGCTTCAGATCTTCGATCGAAAAGGGAAGAGATCAATCCGATCCCTCCGTCATCGATTCATAAGACGTGTGGGAATTAAGCGGAAACCTGAGGGAGTTACTTCTGGTGAGTTTTATTTACAACCTAAATGATTTACTTGCGCTATTTTGTAAACAATTTACTTTCTGTATTTCGCGGTAAAACCTTGTTTTCCAGGCATAAAAGATATTAAGAAAAAGCAAGTCTAAGAAGTATAAGAGTTACTGAGTTAGTCTAATGGTTCGATTTTGGAAAATATTTTAGCCTTCTTATGCTTGTGGTCGTAATGACATTTGGTCCAAGGGATTGGAGATGTACAATTAGGAAGCTACCATTTTTGATACTCTGTTCTTCTATGAAGGTTTAAATTGCCAGAGTGTTTTGTTTTGAAGTTGGTCTAGTAGAACGTTTATCTAGCAACAAATAGTTAAAATCACTTCAAATTCTATTATAAGCGTTAAAATATAAGTCTTAATTGTTTTTGGTGTTAGTCTAGTTGAACTTTTCTTCTATTTGATTTAATTTGTTGGGTTGTTATATATACTTATTTGTTATGAATAATCCGGGGTTTGAGTTTTCCTATCTCAAGATGTTCAGTAGGTATCGTATAGCTACTTATTTCGTCCCATCTATTATCTAGTGATTTTGAGTGTATATTTAGTTTGTCAGCATGACATTACCTATATTTTTTTACCATGAAAGGTCTTGGATTATGAAGGATTGAAAATCCGTATTTATTTTATTTAGGGTTGCCATGTTTTCTCTGCGAATGAGTCCAACATCTGTGCAGCTTGTTTCTCACATGAATTAAATTTTTGGTGTTGTTGAAATCCTAATAGGGTGAGTTCTCCACACCATAATCTTTTTATATATTTTAATATTTTGGTTAATTTTGATGGTCTTTGTTTTTATTAATCTTTATAAATGTTTGACTTGTATCTTTGTTTTTCATTTCTTTTTTATTTTCTCTGTACTACTTATATCTCTATTTTGCTTCTATAGAAGGTTTAAAGATTATATTTGAATAACTGATTGTTGTGAATATTAAACTTGGTGGAGGTTCATAAGAAAATAAAATGAAATAATGATGTTGTGATATCTTTGGATTTATGATTGTTTTCAGTGCTCAGGAATGAAGCATAAAACCTTAATTGGCTTTTTCCATTAGAAAACAGGGATCCATGTCATGCATAAGAAATTTAAGAGTTTTTGTTCTTTGGAACAAAAGGAGTGTGCAAATACATTGGAGGATATAATGGGTGTCAACAAGCCATTTGTAGTTTTAAGAAGGTATAATAATTATGGAAGGAAACTGAAGATTAAATGAAGGTAACACATCAAGGTAAAAGGAAGACCAATCATTTTGCAGAAATTTAAATCTGGCATATTATTAGTAGTTTTATAAGTTTGTGGACAAGTGGATGATAAATGATGATCACTAGTGTCATGCTAGGTTTAAGCTACATTAGATATTGATAAGTTCAGAAAAGGAATAATTGAGGGTTGACGACAAGATTTTTCAGAAAATTTTAGACTATGGACGTGCTAAAATACCCAATAGTAGAGCTATTGATGCAAGAGAAAAGGTGGATTGTATTGGTCAATAAGACAAGGAAAGAGTTTTTTTTTTCCCTCCTGATTATGAGATGTATATGATTCTGTATTTAAAGAGGAAGATTGATAATTTCTTACTCTTGGGATAAATAAGTTTTGGATTAGAGGGTGAATTGAGAACATGACATTCTTCTAAAGAGTTCTTGTTTTGAGAAAAGAATAAGAATTTTTGTTATATGGATGAGAGATAATGAGTGAGCTACAAAGTTGGGAGCCTAAACTTGGTTTGGTTTAAGGAACAATTGAATTCTATCATTACTAGGTAGACTCCTAACAATATTAAAGTGAGGTTATAAAGTTCAAAGTTCTAGATGTGTGGGGAAAGTTAAAACGATTGCGAATCACTTCCACTTGATTCATGGTTAAGAATTTTTCTAAAGACAAATAAGGTTCAAATTTGAGAAGAAAAAGGATACATGGTAGTGTGGCGGAAGGATTAGGTATTAGAATGAACATGTTAGATTGAAGAATGAAGTATTCTTAGAAACAATACATGATAGTGTGTGGAATTGGAATTAACATGTTAGATTGAAGAATGAAGTATTCTTAGAAACAAATACATGATAGTGTGTGGAATTGGAATGGACATGTTAAGATGGAAGCATGAGACATTGTTGGAAAAGTACATATTGGAATAAGATGACATATGAGCGACCATAGTAAGAAGCTTGGATATATTCTAGATTTTTTGGAAAAAGTTAAAGCAATGAATCACTTCCATGTCGTAGTTCAAGATTGTTTTTGGAAAGGAGGTTTGCTTGAATTATTGGAGACCTACTGGTATGTTATTTTTGTGTTTTAGAAGTAGTAGGTAAACTGATAGATCTTGGAACGTAGATTTTGGAATAAGATGACATGTGCCATAAGACGAAGCTTGGAAATGTTCTAAATTTATGATAAAAGTAAAAAAAATTGTGACTAACATCCATTTGGACATCGTAGTTGAAAATTTTTTTTGGACCTAAGGATTTGCCAATATTATTTGAGATCTTTTGGTATATTATCTTGTGATTATAAGTGAAGAATGAAGTATTCCTAGAGAAAATACATGATAATGCTTGGAAAACACATGTTAAGATTGAAGAATGAAGCATTGTTGGTTGGGCTAAGTATTGGAATGAGAAAGAGACAACTTTAGTGATTCTATAATCAAAGAGGAAAAAGACACATTTAGTGTGATGGATGAGCTAATTATTTAAATGGACAGGTAAGGTTAAGGAATGCATCATTCTTGGACAAGTAGATTTTGGATTAAAATGGCATGTGCCATAAGACGAAGCTTGGAAATGTTCTAAATTTATGAGAAAAGTCGAAACAATTGTGAATAACTTCCATTTGGTCATCGTAGTTGAAGATTTTTCATGGACCTAAGCATGTGTTAACATTATTTGAGATATTTTGGTATATTATCTTTTAGTTATATGTGAAGGATGAAGTATTCTTAGAAACAATACATGATAGTGTGTGGAAATGGAATGGACAAGTTAAGAATGAAGAATGAAGCATTGTTGGTTGGGATAAGTTTTGGAATGAGAAATAGACAACTTTAGTCATTCTATAATCAGAGAGGAAGAAGATAAATTTAGTGTGACAGATGGGGGCTAAGTATTAGAATGGACTGGTTAAGTTTAAAGAATGAAGCATTCTTGGAAAAGTAGATTTTGGAATAAGATGGCATGTGCCATAAGACAAAGCTTGCAAATGTTCTAAATTTATGAGAAAAGTCAAAACAATTGTGAACAACTTCCATTTGATCATCATAGTTGAAGATTTTTCTTGGACCTAAGAATTTGTTAAAATTATATGAGATCTTTTGGTGTATTATCTTTTTGTTATAAGTGAATAATGATGTATTCTTAGAAACAATACATGATAGTGTGTGGAAATGGATTGGACATGTTAAGATTGAAGAAGCATTGTTGGATGGGATGAGTATTGGAATGAGAAAGAGATAACTTTAGTACATTTAGTTTGATGGATGGGCCAAGTACTGGAATGGACATAATGAAGCATTCTTGGAAAAGTAGATTTTGGAATAAGATGACATGTGCAATAAGACGAAGCTTGGAAATGTTCTAAATTTATGAGAAAAGTCAACACAATTGTGAATAACTTCCATTTGGTCATTCTAGTTGAAGATTTTTCTTGGACTTAAGGATAAAGAATTGTTAACATTATTTGAGATCTTTTGGTATATTATCTTGTGGTTATAAGTGAAGAATGAAGTATTCTTAGAAAGAATACATGATAGTGTTTGGAATGTACATGCTAAGATTGAAGAATGAAGCATGGTTGATTGGGCCAAGTATTAGAATGAGAAAGAGATAACTTTAGTGATTTTATAATCGAAGAGGAAAAAGTTACAGTTAGTGTGATGGATGGACTAAGTATTGGTATGCACAGGTTAAGATTAAAGAATGAAGCATTCTTGGATAAGTAGATTTTGGAATAAGGTGGCATGTGCCATAAGATTAAGCTTGCAAATGTTCTAAATTTTTTAGAAAAGTCAAAACAATTGTGAATAACTTCCATTTGATCATCATAGTTGAAGATTTTTCTTGGACCTAAGAATTTGTTAACATTATTTGAGATCATTTGGTATATTATCTTTTTGTTATAAGTGAAGGATGAAGTATTCTTATAAATAATACATGATAGTGTGTGGAAATGGAATGAACATGTTAAGATTGAAGAATGAAGCATTGTTGAATGGGGTAAGTATTGGAATGAGAAAGAGATAACTTTAGTTATTTTATACACAATGAGGAAAAAGATACATTTAATTTGATGTATGGTATAAGTACTGGAAATGGACAGAATGAAGCATTCTTGGAAAAGTAGATTTTGAAATAGAATGGACATGTTAAGATTGAAGAATGAAGCATTGTTGAATGGGCTAAGTATTGGAATATGAAAGAGATAACTTTAGTTATTCTGTACACAATGAGGAAAAAGATACATTTAGTGTGATGTATCGGCTAAGTACTGGAATTGATAGAATGAAGCATTCTTGGAAAAGTAGATTTTGGAATAAGATGGCATGTGCCATAAGACGAAGCTTGGAAATGTTCTAAATTCATGAGAAAAGTCAACACAATTGTGAATAACTTCCATTTGGTCATTGTAGTTGAAAATTTTTCTTGGAGCTATGGATTTGTTAACATTATTTGAGATATTTTGGTATATTATCTTGTGGTTATAAGTGAATAATTAAGTATTCTTAGAAACACTACATGATAGTGTTTGGAATGTACTTGTTGAGATTGAAGAATGAAGCATGGTTGGTTGGGCTATGTATTGGAATGAGAAAGAGATAACATTAGTGATTCTATAATCGAAGAGAAAAAAGATACAATTAGTGTGATGGATGGGCTAAGTATTGGAATGGACAAGTTATGATTAAAGAATGAATCATTCTTGGAAATGTAGAATTTGGAATAAGATGACATGTGTCATAAGACGAAGCTTGGAAATATTCTAAATTTATGAGAAAAGTCAGAACAATTGTGAATAACTTTCATTTGGTCATCATCATAGTTGAAGATTTCTCTTGGACCTAAGGATTTATTAACATTATATGACATCTTTTGTATATTATCTTTTGGTTATAATTGAGGGCTGAAGTATTCTTAGAAACAATACATGATAGTGTGTGGAAATGGAATGAACTTGTTAAGATCGAAGGATGAAGCATTGTTGGATGAGCTAAGTAATGGAATGAGAAAGAGATAACTTTAGTAATTCTATACTCAAAGAGGAAATAAATACATGTAATGTGATGTATTGGCTAAGTACTGGAATGGACAGAATGAAGCATTCTTGGAAAAGTAGATTTTCGAATAAGATGGCATGTGCCATAAGACGAAGCTTGGAAATGTTCTAAATTCATGAGAAAAGTCAACACAATTATGAATAACTTCTATTTGGTATTTGGTTATTGTAGTTGAAGATTTTCTTGTAGCTAAGGATTTGTTAACATTATTTGAGATATTTTAGTATATTATCTTGTGGTTGGTTATAAGTGAATAATTAAGTATATTTAGAAACAATACATGATAGTGTTTGGAATGTTCATGTTGAGATTGAAGAATGAAGCATAGTTGGTTGGGTTAAGTATTGGAACGAGAAAGAGATAACTTTAGTGATTCAATAATCGAAGAGAAAAAAAGATACATTTAGTGTGATGGATGGGCTAAGTATTGGAATGAACAAGTTATGATTAAAGA